ATGGAAAAATATGGGCTATACCATACCATACCATACGTTCTGCAAGAGTTATACCATACTGAATCTCTCCCTACCGCCATAATTAGCATCCATCCTTGACAATATACAGTACAGTTCAATCCTTCCTTTTTTAACGGTGTTGGCAACAACATTCTTGCAATTGTTATTTAGATATTAAATACATGATATGTTTTGTTACTGTAAATAAACTAACTACAAAGGCATAATCATCTGGAATAGAAAATTATAACCATTCATCTGATCTGTTAGAAACAAATCTAGATGGTAATGAATGGTTCTATACCATACCATTATCATCATCATTATTTATATCAATATAATTGATTTTGGTAATGTTATTAGTATTAAGGACAGTGTTAAGGTTATCGTGGTTGACTGTGTTTTATAATTAATGTTGTCACAGAAGATGTTTAATTGATTCATGATATGGTTTATATTTAATTTCCTCTTTCCTATGATCTACTTGTTGTAGAACAATCACACGGCATCTAAATTCCCATTCTTTTTTTGGAGGTTAAGTTTATGGGTTCTCTGTTTATTTCGTATTGTTTTAGGAAGCCTAATCTCACTAGCCAGATTTCCCCAAAGAAGCTTTCTTTGCAGAGTGAAGATGATTTCGTTTGGTTATTGGTGAAGGAGTGTATAAGCTTGGTTAATGAGGCTGATAAGAGCACTCTATATATAAGGTTCCAGTTTTCCAATAAGATATTGTCCAAAGCGGCTTGGTTGTTGATTATTGTTGGTGTTGTAATACTGGACCAAGTATGTTTTGACCTTAAGTGCATCGAAGGCAACTTGATTTCATGATCTTTGATTTTTCCTTTTTTGTAAAATGATTTTTCACCTGTTTCCGATGCGATACTTCTGATTCAGCAAAATAGAAAAGGAAAATTTTTAGACAATCATGTGATCAAATTTTTTACAATGTACTTGAAGTCAAACTAAAATTTTTTTTGCAAAACTTTGAACTTGGAAATTTATTTGTTTTATTTTTATTTTACTACCCTTGAAATATATATATAATTTAAATCAAAACGTAAGATTTATCCTATAGTGTAGCTCGTCATAATCAAAAGTTGTTTAATAGCTTAATAGCAGTTGAACCGCTAAAACAAAAATTTTCTTCCTGTATGAACAATTTAATGCTCTTGATAATTTAAAAAAAAACTACCGTATTCTCTCGAATATAAGCAACAGTAAGAATTTGCAACGGAAAAAAAAACAGAAAAAATAGAAAAATAAATATAAGCAACACCTATATTTTGAAGCATTTTTTATTTGACTTCTTATTTTTATATATATAATAAATAAAAAAAAGAATGTTTGACTTTTTGGCATTGTGTGGGAAAAAAATCATACATGATGGCGAAATAGTTTTGTTTCGACAATAATTTCGACGATTAGGGTTCAAACATTTCGAATATACCCTAACAGGTTTCGAAAAAATCAAAATTCGAAATCAAAATCGAAATTCGAAATCAAAATCGAAATTTGTAATCAAAACTCAAAATTCGAAATTAATAAATAACTTTTTTTCATTTTTGCATCAATGTCTTTAAAGTGCTTTTATTCAATTTTTTGAATTTCGAATTTAGATTTCGATTTTGAATTTAGATTTCGATTTTGAATTTCGATTTCGATTTTGAATTTAGATTTTGATTTTAATTTCGATTTCGATTTTGAATTTAGATTTTGATTTTAATTTCGCCAAGGGTATTTTGATTTCGAAAACTTGTGATTTTTTCGAGTTTCGAATTTTATCAAATGACTTTCGCCATCATGTATGTAAAAAATAGGTCAAATAGAAATCAAAAAAGCCGGAAAAGAACAACATGTCCTGGATGAAGAAAATGTAGGCGATATATATGATATAATAAATATTAAATTGTTTGGTTTTATTGATCAATTAATTTTTTTTTAAATGCAAGTCCTTTGCAAAGAAACGAAAACAGTCCACTATAGAAGATCCACAAAAGTAAGTATTGTTTGAGGGTGGCTGTCTTTTTACAAGCGACATTCTAATTATAACTATATACTATGTTTTTTTTAATTTTAGCAACATTTTAACTAATGTCAATGAAAATAAAGCAAGTAGTAATTACATCATTTTTTTCAAATGGGTGGTAAAACTGATTGTTTTGTTTTTAATAAACAATTTCCAATCAATAGGAAAATAACGAACTATGTGATAGAGAATTAGTTATTCATGATATTAATATAAGGGAAGCCCTCATGAAATGGAAAGCTAAAAATAAAATTCAAAGTTATAATTAGTAAGTTTTAATAAAACAATTTATTTGGAAATTTGATTTAAGCTGATTCATTTCTTATAATCATAGGCTTGCTCATAACAACATTTTAAATATAACTCGTGGCTCTAGTTGTAGCTTTATTAAATCATTGACAATTGACATTGAAAATGAAATTAATAAAATTCTTTTAAAACCTAAAAAAAAGAGTATATTGAAATTGAAAAGCTGATGATAGAAATATTAAAGGTACGTTGCATTGAAAGAAATATTCTTATTTTCAAACAAAATTCAAAACCATTATATTTACAATTATTTTATATTAGAGTATTGATCTAAAAAAATCTGTTAATGGATTTTTCTCAAAACATGAGGGGACCACCAAAAAGAATTTATTTGGGACTTTTTTTACAAATTGTAGGTATTTTTATCTCGCATTATAAAACTATTTTCCGATCATTATATGTGATTTATTTATTTTTTACAGAGTACAATCATTTGGGTGAGGAAATGATTTGTTAAAAGAAACATTATCTGAACGATCTTACAGGGAAATGTTTCTAACTCCAGTGATTACTAGTTTGTTCCAGCAACAATTTAATGAAATGGATATTTATTTGTAAGTGTTATACAATCCACATATATGGCCTGAATTAGATTCTTCCTTTAAAAAATCATAATGATAAATATACTAGTGGTGAGAAAAATTTGATTTCAACAGCAGACAATCAAGATAAAGATAAGAATGATGATGAAACAAGAAGTAGTGGAAGAAAAATAGACATTTTATGGGTGATAAAATCCTTGAAAACTGAATTTGCAATATGTGAAGTCTCTGGTCCTCCAAATGGGAGACAACACACACATTACATTGAAGACAAAATCAAAATATCAAAGATGCTCAAGATAATGATCAACCAAATTATTTTAGTTAATGATTGAAAATATTAATCAATATATTTATGAGTCAGGTTTAGAGTCACCCTCAGAAAATGACAATAATAATGCGTCATCATTTTTAACAGAAATATCTCATTCAAAAGAAAAACAACAAACAAAGTAATTTTTTTGATTATTTTAAAAAAAATTATCATATTTCTTTATTGAGAGAATCTTTTTATTGGATTAAAAGTATTGCTTATTGTTGTAGTGTTATTATTTTTTTAGTAGAATAGGATTTGCTACATATTAGTATTTTACGTGATATGCAATAAACTATAAATCATATAAATCATATTATACATACATGATACCATGCTCCTCATAATTAAGTTTGTTATGATTATTATGAATGTTATTCAAATATGATAAATAGTCAAATTTTGCCACAAAAATTTTGAGCTTAGAACTTAGATTTTTCAGTTTGTCTTACTGAATTTGTCAAATTTGTTTATTTACGCAAATTAAATATTGGTATATAGAGTAGATTACCTTGTTCACTTTGTCTGGTTTGTTACAGCATTCCCCATATCAGAAATGCATGTTATTAATAGGTTTATTTAATCTTATGATAGAAAATTTTTTTTCAGCAAAGAGCAATTGTTTATGTTCACATGATTTTAATGTAATAATAATCTTGAACATTACAACAAACTAATTCAACTAATTATTTACTCTTAGGAGGAATAAATAGTGTTGATAAAAATTTTTGCCTATCTTCCAGGAAGAAAGACAAAAGAAAAAGATTCATGAAATTAATTAATAAAATTGTTGTTACATGGCAACTTTTCTTTCTGATGTGTTAATATACACATGTTCACATATACTGTTAATTAACTTGAGTTAGGTAGTAAATTATTTTTCTTCTAATTCCATCTTCTTTTTTAGGTTTTGTGTCAAAGCTCTTTTATTTAGTTAAGATTTTTCTTTCTTGGTAAATTTCATAGGTAATCCTTTCTTTCCTTAGATAAGCCTCAAGTATCTAAGAATCATTTAATTTAAAAATGTAAGGTGTGATTTTTTCACCTTGTTCTTTCTTCATAATACTTCTAATGCTTGGTTCCATAGTAGATCTGATGTAAATGAGTTTCATATTATTATTTTTAGTTCTATATATTGCTTAAGAAAAAGTGGACCAAAATTAGTATTACTATATATTATATAGACTGTACTTGTTTCGATATATGGACGAAGATCATATACTAAAATGATAATTGCAACATTGATCAAAATAGAATTTCTACTATGCTCGTCACCATTGTTGTTTTGTCTTTTTCATTTTTCGCATTCAGGAAAAAAAAGACAAGCCGTATCATTATTTTGTTTATGCTCTCACCTTGAAATAGGCGTAATAAATTGTAGAAGAAAGTAAGAATCGATCCTTTTATATGACTGCCATCAGAATCCCAATATTTGATAATGAAAAAGGACATTTTAGATTGAATTAAAATTTTCATGTGATTAAAGGATTCTATTATAAGCGCTCCATATCTAAGGCTTTTTGTTGATTCATATTCTTTGTCACCTTGCAATCCAACAATCTCTATTTTAGCCACCTGCTCAATTGTTACAACACAGGCATTAATAGGATATGCACTCAGTCACCCTTTCTAATTATATTGAAACGGACAGAGCAAAGCATTTAGCTGGTTCTCCTTCAATATGCAATTCTGCCCATTTTTAGAACCTACTTTAGATGCATCTTCTAATTTTGGAATATCAAATAATAATAATAAAAAAACTCATTGTATTATTTATAATACTTAATATATGTTGATGGAGTAATTAAAAAAATTATTTTTCTAATAAACCTACCATCAGAGCATATATTAATTTCTGAAATTCCTTTCACATTGCATATTTGCTTTTATTTTTGCAAACACTTCCAGTCATTTAAAAATTTAACAGAATTTTTTTGAGAATTATCATTGGTTGTAATATGTTGAGGAATTGGGAGATTTATAACAAAGGAGTGGAAAATTTATACAATATTTTTTGCAAAACCATTGATGGATTGCTAAAGTTTAGCAAGCTGATATTGATTAACTTTATAAAAAATTAAGAATAAAAAAAAGGGAGACAGTTAAATATTGAAAGAACATAAATGCTTGAATTATGCAATTTTTTTAATTATTCCTAATAATATCTAATCTAATCTGATCATTAATTAATGCGTCACGTCTCAGTGCTAACTAAAATTTTCCTCTTTGCTTTTGAACCTCCTAATGTCATTATGAATTACTATATTTTTATTGCATAATAAATAAATAATAAAATTTGAATTAGGGGTAAAAATAAATATAAATAAATTTAATTTGTCCAATAATGAATTTAAAATTTTCAAAGTTCCTCTTTATTATTATGAATAAATAAATTCCTAATTCTATAATTCCATAAATTTCCGCTTAGGAAACTGGTTTTTGCTATAAACGTCTTATAATTTAAAGGATAGCTTTCACAATTATTACTTGATGATGAAATAAGATATTTTGGTCAAACAAACAAAATAAAAATTTTAGGTTTTTTTTAGTTGGTTTCACAATTTGTTTTTATTTTTATAAATTTTTTTTTTTTCATTTTTAAAAGAATAAAATACATGCTTTTAATTAAATATATAATTACAATAAGTAAATAAAATTTAAATACATGACTCCAAAAAGATCCTCAGAATTGGAAATATCACCACCTGTTCGCCTTCCAACAACACCCGAACAATCTCCAACTAGAAGGAAAAAATCTCGTGAAGACAAAGATTCGATATTTTCCTTGTTTTTTGGTTCTGCCTCAAGACCTTCCTCACCAAGCTATGAGCCAATTTTACAAACGATGAATCATTTTACTTCTAAATCAAATAAATCGAGAAATTCTACTTTTATTAGAAAACATTCAGCTGAAAATCTCAAATCTGCTTTATCTTTACCACAAACTGATGGTCCAAGAAGAAAATCTTTTGATTCTGTACAAAACGATATAAATGCTAATTATGTGGGTTATTTCCCTCCTCCCGAAATAGCTCATTTTACTCATCAACAATCTATTCATCAATCATCGCCATCATCAGCTGATTTTAGTAAAAATTCGTCCAAAAACAACAACAGCAGCAACAACAATAATCGTGATCATGATCATCATAATAATAATCATCATCATCATCATCATAATAGCAATAATAGTATTAACCATAATATTACGGATTCTCATTCATTTAGAGGAATTCATCGACGCACAAGAAGTTCAGAAAGTGATTCTGTTTTAGATTCCGGTAGCTTACATTCAACCGCTAGTAGTAATACTCTAATAAATCCAACCCCTACTAAAGAAAAGAAAACTATTTTCCCCAAATGGTTTATTAGAAAAGGATCAAAAGATAAAGAAATACCGGCACCACCAGAAGGTTTTATTGTTATTACTATCGCTACTATTATTATAGATTTCTCTGCATATTAACTTACACGCATACACGTAATGTTTATTTCATGCATACATATATAATTATTATAGCTTCTTCTCGTAAAAACTCAGATGCAGAACCCTACATACATACTAATTTGGTAATAACACCAACATATGATAGGGATGATCCTTTTGGATCAATTATTACTCCTACTTATCCTAAATCTGCTACATTACCTGGAAAAAATGACATTCCTTGGATTAAATCAAAAAAAGATAAATCAGGAAAAAAAAAGGTTTATATTTCTACAAAACCAACGCTAATTAATTACATTCATCTTTTCAAATAATCAATATTTTTATTCAAAAATTTTTTTAGGATTTGATTTTAAATGGAATCAATCGTATTGATATCGTTCCTTATTTGATTTTTTTTTTTAAAAAAAAATTCTAGAGAAAATCATTTAATAACATTAAATTGATATCTTTCAAAAAAAAAACTATCTCCATTTTAGTTGATACCGATTTTGTTGATATGAATGATATTATAAGAAATCCAAATTACATGTTATACGATGAACTCCAACCAGAAAAATCATTCTACGATGGATCAGAAATATGGTCTCCACCTGAATCATGGGCTGTTCGAAAAGCTTCTCCAGATGAATCATCAATTTTAACAGATAAAGATTTTAATAAATATTTAAAAGATATAAATGATAAATCGGATCAAACTAATAAATTGGTATATTATCAAATAAATATAATTATAATTACAATTATAATTATGAATATAAATATATATGTATATGTATATGTATATGTATATGTATATGTATTTTTACTCATTGAATTAATCCAATCATTATAACTAAATTTATCATTATTATTATTTTTACCTATCCATACACTTTCACTTTTCCTAAAGTTTACCATACGAATTTTTCGTCCTGATTCAACTTTTGGTACCGTAAATTGTTCATTAAATACTACCACTGCTGAATTATGTCAAATGTTGGGGAAAAAATTCTTTGTTCAAGATATCTCAAAATATAATTTATTTGTAAAAAGACACTATTTAGGTAATTTTAAAAGTTTGGGTTATTTCTTCTTTTTTGCCTATTGCATCAAATATGATTATAATAAATATAGTATTAATATTATTTATGTTGTTTATTGCATAGAACGTGTGCTAACTTCTCATGAAAGACCATTAAAATTACAAAAAATATGGCTTGAACGAGCAGGTTATACTGAAAAAGATAATTTAGAAGATCTGGGTAGAGAAGATAATAGTTATTTGGTTCGTTTTACATTTCGTGAAACAACCGTACCGAGATTCGAGGTTAATTTTTTTCATGTTACCATTATTATAATTTTTTTATTTATACTCACGTGTTTAATATTAATGTGTGTACGTGTGTACTGATTCCTCTTTTACATAGGAAGAAGTTAATATCTCAAATTTTCAACATGTTGACCTTCAGGCACGCAATTTACAAACTATCCCTATATTTCTTTATAAACATGCCCATGTCATTCGATCACTTAATGTTTCACAAAATTTGATGCTTGACCTTCCAACTGATTTTATACAATCATGTACTCAACTTCGTGAGCTTCACCTATCTTCAAATGATCTTGAACGAATTCCTCAATCTGTAAGACAATCTGAACTGCTATCGAGCCTCAATATAAATTCAAACAAGCTCAAAGATTTAGATCATGCTAAACTTGATAAAATTAAAGGCATATTAAATCTTCAAGTAGAAAATAACATGCTTCAAAGTTTGCCAGAATACTTTGAACGATTCACCACTCTTAACTTTCTTAATATTGCCAATAATTCTTTTACGGAATTTCCATTGGTTATTTGTAAAATAACAACACTTTCAAAACTAGATGTTAGCTTCAATAAAATTTCCTCTATCCCTGATGAGATTGGTCAACTAGTCCACTTAAAAAGACTATTTATGATAGGAAATCAACTTGCAGATTCATTACCTAACAGTTTTAAAAACCTAACCTCTTTACGAGAATTAGATATTCGTAAAAACAAAATTCAAAATTTAGATGTAATTTCTTCAATGCCAAACATTGAACGTTTATTAGCAGATTCAAACAAAATCAGCATGATAAATCTTTCTTCAAGAACACTACAACAATTAATATTGTCTAGTAATCGTTTTACACAATTTGGGTTGTCTGCGCCAGCAACTTGTCTTACAGTTCTTTCTTTAGCACACTCAAAGCTTACCACATTGCCCGATGAACTATTTGAAAACCTTCCTGCAATTGAAAAAATTGATCTGAGCAATAACCAATTTGTTTCGCTTCCAAAAACAATCGGATTATTAACAAGATTGACACATTTGTCATGCGTAAACAATATTCTCTCTGAGTTACCTGGCGAAATTAGTACTTTAGTGTCTTTACGAGTATTAGAAATTCGTAATAACAATTTAACTTCACTTCCACAAGAAATTTGGTTATGTAACAATTTAACAGTTTTAAATGCCAGTTCTAATCTTCTCGAACAATTTCCTTCACCACCACCGCCACCTTCACCACCACTATTACAAAATACAAATGACTCACTACAACAACAAAAATCACAATTATTGACTTCTAAAAGATCTTCTTATCAACATCCATTATGTATTTCTTTGCGTTCTCTTTATTTGGGAGACAATAATTTAACCGTAGAAATATTTCCGGCGATTTCATTATTAATGGAACTTAAAATATTAAATCTTTCATTTAATGATTTAGATGAAATTCCAACTGGCGGTTTAATTAATCCTTACCTGACAGAATTATATCTTTCTGGTAATCAATTATCATCATTACCTGATGATATTGAAAAATTGTCAAACTTGAGAATTTTACATGTAAATGGTAATAAGCTACAAACATTGCCAGCTGAATTAAGTAAAATAAGAAAATTGATTGTCTTAGATGTTGGAAGTAATGCTCTTAAATATAATATCGCTAATTGGCAATATGACTGGAATTGGTAATAGTTGTTTATTTTATTTGTATATATATATATATATATATATTTTACCAATCTATTTAATTAAATTATTCATCACGATGATGACGTTACAAATTTTTTGTTTCTAAAAAATTCAGGAATTGGAATATGGAGCTTAAATTTTTAAATCTTTCTGGTAATAAAAGATTTGAAATCAAACATGCACATGTCACAGAGATCAATCCACTTAGAGATAGAAATCTTGCAGGTTTTGGTGCTTTAACCCGACTCAGTGTTCTAGGTTTGATGGATATTACACTATTGAATTTGACAGTACCTGATGAAAATGATAATAGGCGTATTAGAACTTCATCATCCGAAGTTAATTCTATGTCGTATGGAATGGCTGATATATTAGGAATAAAGGACCACCATCTGTCAATATGGGAAACTGTAATTCCAAAATTTCGTAGTCGTGATGACGAATGTTTATTTGGCCTTTTTGATGGGAGAAATGGTCCGGATCAAGGTGGTCCTGTTACCAAATATTTACACGATTGGTTTCCGTATCATTTCAAGTCTGAGCTTGAGAAACTCAAAGACAATGAAACAGTTGAATCAGCAATCAGAAGAACCTTTTTGGGTTTAAATAAAGAACTTGGTTTAAAAGTTTTCAATTCAAGTTTTGAGAAAGAGTATGCCAGAGAAAACGAGAGTAATCATCATCATTCAATATCATTACAAATTGGTAATAATAAATCGGGCGCTTCTGGCTTGATAGCATATATTTCAGGAACAAAATTATACGTTGCAAATGTTGGTGACACCACAGCGGTCATCAGTCGTAATGATGGTAATGCACATGTTATTGCAAAATGTGAAGATCCAACCAGTACAAATGAATTCCAAAGAATAAGAGAAGCTGGCGGATTTTTATCTCATGATTTTTTGGTGAATGGTGAATTTAGTGTTTCTAAATCATTTGGACATTTTCATTTAATGCCAATTATAAATTCTAATCCAGTGATTGATGTGATTGAATTATCAGAACAAGATGAGTTTGTCATATTGGCAACAAAGGGATTATGGGATTGTATGAGTTATCAGACAGCTGTGGACATTGCACGAACTGAAAAAAAAGATTTGATGATGGCCGCACAGAAATTACGTGATTTTGCTATTGCATATGGTTCGGAAAAAAAATTAATGGTAATGATTATTGGTGTGGGAGACCTGTTTTGTCGAAGATCAAAACCATCCACAAATACAGGAGACCCTAATTTTAAAAAAGCACAATATATCACAGAAGAACCAGGAACAACCTTTTTCTTTGGTACTAGTAAGAAGCGTATTAGAAAAGAAGAAGTCCCTAGTGATTCAATGATGGCAAGATTACAAAAAGAAATTTCTCCGCCAACCGGACAGGTTGCTTTGGTTTTTACTGATATTAAAAATTCAACATTTTTATGGGAAACAATCCCGGTTGCAATGAGACATGCAATAAAACAACACAATACCATAATGCGTCGTCAATTAAGGAATATAGGTGGTTATGAAGTTAAGACTGAAGGAGATGCTTTCATGGTTTCTTTTCCAACCGTATCATCAGCTCTTCTTTGGTGTTTTACTGTACAACTTCAACTGCTTGAAGTTGACTGGCCCCAAGAAATTATCGATTCAGATGATGGTAAGGAAATTTATGGTGGCGAATATAATGAGTTGCTGCATAGGGGCTTATCAGTTAGAATGGGAATACATTTAGGCGTACCAGTATGTGAAACTGATATTGTAACAAAAAGAATGGATTATTTTGGGCCAATGGTGAATAGAACTGCTAGAATTTGCAATGCAGCTGATGGTGGTCAAATATGTGTCAGCTCAGATGTCGAGGCAGAAATAAGATTGTTGGATGGTCTGATGGATGCAAATGATCACGATTCATTGTTTAAGAAAAATGGCGAATATGATGATTATTCAGGGCCATTAACAACAGTTACTACTAATACTATAGTAAATAATCCAGTTATATTAGATAAAAATCTTATTGCATTAAGAAAAATGGGGTTTGTTGTTAAAAACATTGGAGAAAAAAAACTTAAAGGATTGGAAAATACCGAAGTATTATCATTAGTTAGTATTTTAAAAATTTTTTTTTTTTAATTTAGATTTACTTTTAAAAAAACAATGTTTAATAACGATTTCTCTTATAGGTTTTTCCGGAAGCACTTAAAGGTCGAATGGAAGAAGGTCAACAAAATAGGATCACACAAGAGGTACTTTGTATATATTATATTTTACTGTATGCTATTATTTATTTTTAAAAATTTTTTTTTAATTTTTACAATCATTTTTGTTATAAAAAAAAATATATAGAATATTTTCCCACCTTCATGTGTGAGACAACTTGGATATCTTTGTTTACGTTTAGAACGTATTACATCAGGAAATATAAACAATCAATATAATTCAGCAAGAAATTCCCGTGCAGATTATTTAACAGGCTTATTAACTTTTCATGTTAAAGATAATGCAGACGATGAAGAATTGTTAAGGATTATGGAAAGTTTAATAACAAGAATTGAGGTACTTTTTTGAAAAAAAAAATTAAAAATTATTGATTAATGTGCCTCTATATTTTATATCTCTTACTAACACATAATTAATTTTTATTTTATTTATTACCACTTTAGAACGTTATATCAGCTTTATATCTTAAAAATGTTAGCAAGCATACTCGTATACGTGAAGAGTTTGGAGAAACTACTCAAATTGATCCGGAATATATAATTGATGCATTACGAATGTACATAAAAATGGTCGGAATTAATAAAACAAAAAGCAATAAATGTGATGGATCACCAGCATAAATTGTAAAATTTTAAAATTTAATATGTAAATAGCTTTGGTGTTTATTTTTATTTTTATTGTTATTTTTATTATTCTAATTATTATAATTTAATTTATATAATAATAATCCTTTCTCTTTTTTCCTTAAAGACATTTTTAATTCCAATACTTATTATTATTTTTTAATTCTAATTTAATCTCTCTAATGGACAATAACTTTAAAAATTGAAAAGGATAATTTTTTAATTAATAATTAATAATAATTTTTAATTAATAATAATTTTTTTTTTTTAATAATTAATTTAATTTAATCAATTTCAACTTAATAATGAGCATTTTTAAAAGTAATTTAATGTAATAATAATAATATTTATTTTAGTGTTTGTATTATTAATTTAATTTTTAATTTTTAATATTTAATATGGACAATTTAATATAATAATGAACAATTCTTTAATTCAAAAAAGATATTTATACAACTTTCTTTGGACACCGGAATAAGTTAATTTTCTGCAGCATTTCTTATTAATGAATAAAGTTTTTGTTCGCTAAGAACTTTTACAGAATATTCATCTTTATAAAAAGATCCGCCCATATGAATATTTGGAATTTTGTGATTCATGATGGATGGAATATCGACGCTGGCAGATACATGAAGTTCCTTTAAATTTACTGCCTTTAAAATTCTGGTAACATTTGTCTCACGGATTCCTAAAGGATTTTCAATCTCTAATTTAGTAAAAAAAATTTTTCACTTTTTTTCTTTTTTTAAAACAAAAATATTGAATTCTAGATGAATTTAACTACCACCACCAGGCATGATTATTATTCTGTCATTAGCAATATCCACAAGTTTTTTGATTGTTTCTAAACCTTCCAATACAGAACTATCATGACCACTAATATATTTTTATCATCAGTTTTTCAATAGAATGTCTACAATATATGAACAAATAAATTTTTAGACACAAGCATTATTTTGTCTCTACCTGGTTAGTATTCGTTCAATTCTACCAATTGAAATTATATCTTCAAGTGCCTGATATGGATCGTTTGTCATATCAAATGCTCTATGAAAAGTTACTTTACAAGGAAAAAAATTAATGATTAATATATATTAATTAACAAGAAATCCAAAGATGCAAATAATCACCTTTCAATGGTTTTGCAACTTCAACTAATCTGAAGAATAATGTGTTATAAATCATATTTGTTCGTTTGATTTTTTAAAAATAAAAATAAAAATCAAAGTAATAATAATGTTTTTATTACTTTGATACTCTTTCAATATCAACTCTTCCATCAGGTTTTAAAATACCAAAAACAACTCCATGTACCCCAAGTGATTTTATAGACTCTATATCTAAGCACATCACATCAAATTCCTCATCACTGTAACAAAAATCTCCACCTCTAAGAATAAATTAAAATAAAGTTTTATTATTTAAAAAAAACCAGGAAATAATCAAAAGTGATTAATTGGGTAGTAATACCTTGGTCGAATCATAACCTAACATAAATAAGTATATATTTCATCGATCATCAATAATAATTAAAAAATCTAAAAAACCCAATTTACATGACTACCTACCATAACAGGGATTTTAATCTTCTTCAGAGTCACTTTAATCATTCCTAAACTTGGTGTAGTTCCACCTTCTATCAAATTATCACATAATTCAACACGAGACGCGCCACCTTTTTCTTTTATATAATTTACGAAAGAAATTCATTAAACATCATTCAATAAATATCAATCATTAATAATATTGACAATGGTAATATCGCTCACTAACCTGCATTTATAGCAGATATCACAGAATCTATACAGGCCTCAAAAATCAAATTTTCCATCATGCATAAATAATAATAAACCAGGACCCCCGCAAATTATATAGATAGGTTTTACATACAAAAAATCACGGTTGATATAGGGTTTGACCCACACTGTGATTGGCTTATTAGAGACAATCTTTTCAAATTTGGTAATTTTCACCAGCTGCGGCAGTAACCAATCTATGTCTCGGTTTAACGGGATAGTTTGAGCAATTAGTATTAGTATTAGGGAAAATTTTCCAAAAAATCCGTTAAACCGAGATATCCGCTATATTGAGAAGGTTTTATTGAGGTTTATGGAATCGTTCTTTGAACTTTATCCGTAAAGCCGAGATTTTTTAATTAGTGTCCGCTAAATCGAGATTCACTGTGTAGTTTGCGGGGGTCCTAAATTCTGTGGGTTATTTTTATTATAAATCGTATTGATTTGGCTCCCAAATTTTATGGTTCCTAAGCTTAAAATGCTATTGAGTGAACTCAAGTGTCAGATTTAATAGAATAATCCTTTCGATGTCTCGCGGGTTCCTTCCTATTGACATTTCTTTTGGAACAAAATGCCATAGCCAATATTAAACTATAATCTATTCGCACATGAAAAAATTTAAAAAAAAATATATTTTAAAATAATAATTATAATTGTAGTAATTCATTAATTGCGTGCTTCTACAACTCCACCAATTCCAATTTCTGAATGAATATCCAATATTTTTATATACATCCTTGGAAGGATTTTTATCAAGAATGGCTGATTCACATATTGCATTAGCTTCAAGGGTTAGTACTAATGTCAATTGTTCCAACAGTAATATGTGCTATTTTATTAGAACTTTTGATAAATGATGGTTCTATTCTCTTTTCTAATCACATTCTATGAATAAGTGTTACATACTCATTAGAATTAATATGTTTATTTTGTTGTTGTAAATTATTGAAGAAGGTTCTAAAATTAACATCAACATTTGAAGTTTCTATAAAAAATTTAGTAAGAAAAATTTGCACATCAAAATTCTTGAGATTAATTGCATAATATCTAGTACTGGTTGGTGACGATGACAATGAAATTGCCTGGTTGGTTGACAGTACAAATAATTATAATCTATAAGTGAATCATCTTGTTTAGAGCAAAATGCTTCAATTAAATCATCTTCTAAAATGAATCCTTGATCCTCTGCCTTCATTATTGCTTCCATAGTTATGATTAAATGTAATTTTTTCAGGCTTATCTGAAAATTTCAAGTTCTCAGGATAAAGACCATGTTTCAACCTATTATATTCTAGTCTGTAAACTGAAAAGTCATAATCTGTAAAGTATTTTCTTTTAAACATTAGATTTTAAAGTTAAGATAAATATGATATATATATATATATATATATACCTTCAAGCTTTCGCTTGCAATGTTTGTGTTCTTTGACATACTGAGCATGTGTGTACCTGTTATTCTGTGAATGTGGTCAAATTTGCCTCTGAGTTCTTTTAAACAAAGAATACCATCATGTGAACCTTCAATATGTAGAAATAAGATGAGTTCAGTAAAATTCATACATGCATCTCAAAATATTCTTCCCTACTCAAATCTCCAACGACATACAGGGTTGCATGTGGGATATGCAAAACTATTGGGTAACAAATGTATATTAGAGAAGGCCTTTACATTGCTACCAAATATGTTTACAAGATGGATGTACTTACGAATTACAACCCATTTAAAAAAGAATGAATTGGAAGAAGTAAGTACAACGTGGAAGCATTTTCCTGTTTCGTATTAGTCACAAGCCAGTTAAGAAATGATCTGAGAAGGACTGCCCCCTCCTTCGAACTGTCTCCATTTGCCATTTGCCATTTGCAGTCAGCAAAATTCTAATTTACAATCAGCAAGCATCAGACTGCAAGTTATATTTTTATAAAAACAGCTTGTAAAGAATTTCCCTTTTTAAAAAACAGAAGGTTAACGATTTTGAATGAATCACATAAAATAAGTAAGATTCCAAAAAAAATATGAAAGATTAATAATAATTTTCAATAATATTTATATTAGTAAAAAGCGTTCAATTCTGAAATTAGAATTTTTTTCACATCTTTATTAATAATTGTTAAATATAAAATTTTAACAATTGACTTTTTTTAGAATAGAATAAAATTTACTTTGTAATTAAAGCACACATCCTTTGTTACTACTACTTACATTATTGATCATATTAGCTTGCCTAAGAAATAGATAAACAAAATTATAATAAAAGCTCTTTGAATTTCTCTTGTCGTCTTGATAATGCTAATTTCTTCGCGAGTTGTGGATTGGTTTCTTCTTGTTGACTTTGCGAATTTATTTTTATAATAACTAAAGTGATTAGTAATCACCACCGCCATTTTTTTTTGATAATCTCATTATAATTATGTTTACTCATAAACTCATTCTTCTACATATGTTGCTTTTATTCTTGTGCCTTTTTGTGTTGGCATTGTTTTTTTTTTAAAAAATAAAAAATTGATCGACAAAACGCGTACACATAGTGTTGTACAAAGAAGCTTCCTATTCATTATTATTTTTTTGGAAAAACAATTTATTTTTTAGAAGCCAGGCCTTCATTGGCAAAATTGCTCTTATTTGATATGTTATGGTTCTAAAGATGAAGAAGAGTTATTTATTAACAAGCAGAGGTACTTTTTTTTGCATTGATGCCTAAATATCTTAAACGTGGGATGGGTCTCTAGGTATTTATTAAGATTCTCTATCATAACAAATGATTGGCATCATATTACCTTTTATAACAGTTACTAATATTAAAGAATAATAAAGATAAAAAAAGGCAGCATGACTGTTGAGGACAGGATGGAAAACCGTTCCAGACAATTTAGAAAAATTCCATATGATTATCGGAAGTTGACGGGCGTTGAAGTATACTACTTTATCTAAAACATTACAATCATTCTCGTGTTCCTCGCATACATGAGATTTCCACCAGCAATATGGGGGTCTGAGAACTCCTGGCCAAAATTGAGTTTTTTGCATAATGTATATCTATATCATAAGGATTATAGTTGGTGAAAAATTTAGAACATGTTTACCTAGTACAATAATGAGATACAAGACTTGAAATATTTACTTTTACATATCAAAACTATTCGTGTAACCAATTTTGTTTTGTTAATAACACAGAACAATTTAATAGTCTCAGACCCCCTTTTTGCTGGTGGACATCCCATATCTATTGTATGCACATATTGAAATCATTACCATTTCTATAATAATAACATTATCATTATTATCCATTAGAAAAAAACAAACGATATTAAGAAATTAGGTTTGAAACAAATAAGAGAACTTTTGTTAATGTTCTACTCTTGGAACCAGGCAGAGAACATGTTTTAAATCACAATGATAAAATTTTAATCAAGACCCGAGAGGGCTTTATGTTGTGTACTATGGGTGTTTCTGGGACAGAATGTGTTATTTGCTTCTCCAGATACCTGTTTAATACTATTTTCAATAGCATTAATTTTTATAGCTTGCATATCCACAAGGGCATGTAGGTCTCGATTTTATATCAATTTACTATGTGTTGTAACTCCAAGAAAAAAAAAATTTTTGTCAAAGTAGATAATAGGAAAGCAAGTGAAACAAGCAAGACATGCATAGCATGTCAGATAACAAAACTAGAAAAATAATAAATTGATAAAATTTTCAAATTAAACATTTCTGCTATCTATATAAAAAGAAATCAAAAAATGTTTGCATATATAATTCAAGCATATCACTATATTGCTAAAGCAATTTCTTATCTAGATGTTAGCAAAGACCCATTTGAGGCCAGAGACCTAGTAAAGGTAAGGGAGATCATAGAGTATGCAGAAATTAATCCTCAAGCATTTAAGTTACCATCAGAACTAATTAGTCAAATTATAAAGCAAATCAAAGATCCAAAAAAAATTGCAAATGTAATGGTAGTAAAACAAAACATGGTATAAGGAAGGAAGATGACAATTATATATTGATTGAGATGACATAATGGAATGGTTGAGATTAAAAAGGATTGATAAATTGGATAGCTTTATAGGATGTCAAAATCTTGATAGGTTAGATGAATATGTAAGGATAATTAAAAAGCTTAAGAAAATTCATGATGAATTAAATGAATCGCATTTGATTGAACTGAATAATTATTTAGAAGCAAGGAGTAATTGAAGATCTTGATGGTTATGAGTATACATGCAGCCCAAATTGGTTTGGTGATTTTGATGGTCAAATTATTCCAATTTTGATGGTAGAAAGTAGAAATTAATTATGGCATACATTATTAAAAACATAAGTGTAACACCCCTTTACTACACATGTAACCCCTTTATGACAGTGTCAAAATACTTTGGGCTGCATGTATAGTTATGAGGTTTATGTGGATTATGAGGTTTATGTGGATTATGAGGATTATGAGCATTATGAGCATTATCAAGAATTGGATGAGCCAACCAAACTATTATTTAATGACATGAAAAAAAAATTATATAAACTTGAAAAAGTTAGAGAAGATATTGGTCAAATATGTAATGAAATAACAAGTTTTAAAAGGTTTGTAGATGAAAATACATCTCATTTCATAATCATCAATGCCATAAATTAATAAAATTTTCGAATTAAACATTTTTGCAAAGAAGAAGATAGTTGTTGAGACTATACATGAAGTCGAAATTAAAACCCCAGTCGAAATGTTTCAACTTGAAGCAACTACATAGTAAAAATCAGTTTTGACCTTATTTCGACCCTATTTTGACCAGATCTGCAAATGGTCAAAATAGTTTCGACTTCATGTATAGTTGAGACATTTTAATTTTGTAGAATTTAGAGATTTATTAATTTAAAGAAATCAAAGAAAATGTTGATTATGTAGAATTATTAGAAGATATTTATTTATTATCTATCAATTTATCAACTTTAAAAAATTCAAATAAAGAAAATTTCACCTTTATTTATACATTTAGAAGAGACTCGAATCTTGATTAAAACAATAGTGAGGTTATTTTTTAGAGAAGAATTATTAGTGTAAAATCATTATTTAGAAATATGGAAAATTTGATTAATATTTTCTATTTTATCTTGATATTCTATGTAACTTCTGCGTCATATATGATGTCACATACACATGTAGATCATTACATCATTTCTATTTTTAACTTATTTTATGACATAATTATTTACTTCAAATTATTAATCAAATTATTTGTATACAGAAAATAGGATTAATAAGCATATTTTATTGGACAAAATATTGTAAAGGTCATGTTGTTTGTGATACCTAAAGAGGTATAAAAGAGCTTGGTTTTAGACCAAGTGAGAATCATCATGTTCATGATACAATAATAATAATAATACAATAATAACCTTGTAACAGAGTATTATCACTAATAAAGACTCATAACACTTACAATAAATAATCCAATCCATAGTTAATAAACAATAAACTCTTGCTGAAAAGCATCATCCATTAAGAGCTACTCTACCTAGGGGATGAATGGTTAATAAAAGCAAAGAAAATAAGCCCAACTCAGCTCTTCTGACACAAAAAAAATGCCAGCATGGGTAAACCATACTTTACATAATGGTCCCACCACCAATTTACAAATTGACCATTTTTTGGAACAGGCAATATTGCTACACGTCATCACTCTGTTAATTATAAACTTTTTTTTATTAGTGAAAATAAAGAAAATGATGAGAGGGACCCTTTTTTGTAATATTCTTCACAATGTTTACACACATTTTTCCAACTTTGATAACATTCATAATGATATCCGTGACCATGGTTTTAGACCAAGTAAGAATTATCATGTTCATGATACAATCATAATAACCTAATAATAACATTGTAACTAAATTATTATTGCTAATAAAGGTAAAGTGATTACTGAAGATAATGATTTTAGTAAAATAAGGGTGAAGCAGCTTAAAAATGTTTCAGATAAACTCAATAATAGAGATAATTGTTTTGGAATTGAGAAAGATATCAATGCTCAGAAAGGTAGAATACCATTAAGAGTAAGGTTTCTGGTCCAAACTGTTTTCTCAAAGCCCAAACTGGTTTGGGCAATTTCAGCTACTAATAGAAGCAGTTTTGACCAGAAACCTTAATTAAGAGATTATCCTAATGATCCATTAATAAATGAATACTTGAAAAAAGAAACTCAGAGTGGGAAACAAGTCATAGAACATCTTAAAAATAATGCAGGAAGAAAGGGCAAAGATGGAGCATTAACCAGACATGTGGGAGATTGTCTTAATGATCTGATTAATAAATTAGAACTAGTAGATCTAATGAATCTAGTTGAATTGCTTTCATTATTATTAATATATATATTTTTTTTTATTCAAGTAATATCAAATAATGTAAATAATTAAACAATAATAAATATATTTGTAATTGATTAAATGCCCATGTACATTTAATCCATTAAGCATGATATATTTTCCTTTTAAAAAATTAGTTCATAATTTAATTTGTGTTGGGAATGGAACCTTGGATTAAAAGGTTGATAACATATCATAAAACACAACAAATATTACCCTTGGATCAAATAGCTTCATGATAATGATTCCCGAAAGAAGCATTCCAAATTTTTCTTCCACTTCCCATTAGTGTTGGTTTCCAAAAACTAGAGAGTTTCGCAACTGTGCAAAAATCAATAGGTTTCGCCACAAGTTGAAACTAATTTTGAATTTTGACTTTTGACATGTAACTTTTAATTTTAGTTTTGACTTTCACCTCTTCAAAATAGTTTTTTGGCAACCAACACTACTTCCCATAGGGGTAAAAGAAATCAATAAAATCATTGAACATTAGGGCTAAAAACATTGTTTGTGATAATGGCACCAATGTCATCAAAGCTAGAAGGATTGCAATAATTAAATATAAACATATTATTAATGTTGGATGTATAGCTCACTGTGTTAATTATGTTGATAACTTTAAAAGGATGTCAATTAGAAGAAAGGCAAAAAGAAAAAAAAAGAAAAGTTTCAGAAGATTGGAGGATGCTTTATTTAATTCAACTCTAAGAATAAATCAAACCATCATTGATTCCTCAATTTTTTCCTAGCTTCTTCAGCTCAAAAGACCGCATGTTTTTATGTACCAAAAATCATAAAAAATTTATCAAGAATACTAATAAACAATAAAAGTTTTGACATATACTTATAATGAACATAAATGATTAAATAACATGGAATCTCAAAAAAAATCACACTTTATTATCATTGATTGTTATCATTAGGTCTAGTAAAATGAAGTTTTCCAATAGAAACAACACCAATATTTTCACATTCAAGTATCTTGTAATGCTCCTCTTTCAACCCTTCAATAATTTCACCTTTACCCATTACATGTAAGGCTTTTAACTCTTTCTCCCTTTTTCATCTGATAAATAAATTCAGCTGTTCATTTAATGGCTATCCTTGGTGATGGATGGATGTTCCATAGCTATTTTGAGAATATTATTATTATTATTTTGCATAATTAAATAAATAATTAAAATTTGTGAAAATTACTTGGAAGACATGAGGCATTTCTTCATAAACCTCAAGAATAACTTTTGTAGGTGTTTTATAAGGTGACTTTTCAAACTTTTCAGCATTGTAATTTGGCAAATTGTATTTTTCTGGATTAGCAGCTTTATAAGCCAAATAAATACTCTCACTAAAAATGAGTTGTTTACATTCCAAGAAAATTCTTTAACAACGATGACAAGATTGTAAAATGTAAGTTTTACAAATTTTCAAATAAGGAAATAGTTATTAATAAAATGGAGAATGATCTCAGGGTTAAAGTTTATCCCAAATTACTAAATTTGGGTAATGGTTTGCTAATTTTAGGTAACAAAATTGATGATCTTAACCACAAATCTCCCTTATATTTTTACACATTTATGAGAATTTTGAGGATTTTTATGTTTTTCTAGTTATATATTTATTAAAAAAGATTATTATTATCACAAAAATAGTGTCATTTTTTGACCCAATTCGTTCTGTAATCAATTCTTTTTTTTTTGTTTAATAAAACACTTTTGTGGTCGGAAATTAAACAGTAGAGTTTAATTGACCACTTGGTTTTCACCTGCAGTTTAGGTTTCGCCAACTTCACCGCAAAATTAGGCCTAAACTATGGTTAGCTTCGGCCATCAACCACTAGTCTTGCATTTTTAATTATGTATTGTGTCACGAATTGTCTTGAATTACGTCTTGCGTCATGAATTGCCTTGAGTTACGTCTTGCATCCCTACATCTCTTGCATCATGAATTGTGTTTTGCGTCACGCATGACACAAAATTGCAGCTTTTAAACCACTATAACTGCTTCGCCTTTTATATTTAATTAATTATTATTATCTGAATTTATGTAAAATCACAAAATTTTCTTATTAATATTAACCCGAAATCAACCTGAACCCGACCCGTTAGGAGCTTTACTCTAAATTTTATTTGAGCAACTGAACTTGTTGTTTAAATGGGGTAGGGTTGTTTGTGTCTAAATTTAGGAAAAAACTAAAACAGCAACCCAGGTTGTAACCTCCCAAGTTAGTTTGATAGGCGTACCGAATTTTTTAAATTAGTAATAAATTTACTAATTAATTTTAAAAAATCTCTCCATTACATTTAAGGTTGCTTGCCGAAACTCCTCCAGAAATCAACCAGCAGGGTTTTGGCAGGTTATACATTAATTGTTTATTAGAGTTTCGGCAGAGTTTCGCATTTTGAGGTTTCGCCATTTCGGCATAGTTTCAACAGGATTTTTGATAAGATTTAATATAGTTTTGCAGTGGTTGCGGTAATTACTAAGGAGGTTTCGCCCACAACCTTAATTACATTGTTGTTTATGTTCTAAAGATTGCAAAAATAGAGTTTTTTATGGGCCAACAAATATTTCCAAAGTTATCAGGGTTTAAAGATTTGCAATTTTTTTTGATGTCCTTAGATGCGGCGCACCATAGTAAATATCTGCACACGAATAGTAACAACACACAATGCCAATACTAATTTAGTAATTATAATTGTAAATCATTATCATAAACCGAACTTGAATCGTGTAACAAATTTTTTTTAATTTTTGGAAAATTTCTGCGATGATCAATATTAATCATTGTAGTTGTTGGGTTTATTGTGTAAGGAATTGTTTATACTTTGAATAACCGGTTTAAATCCAACTATTACTATTACTATGACTATTATTGTCAAAAATAAATTGCGAAAAGTTGGGTTTAATTACCGTTATCATATATATTTCCATACTTGTAACAATTTATTTAACAAACAATTCTATTATAATTAGGTGTTTTAAGAATCCTCTTTAAATGGTAAACTTGAAAAAAGGATTGATTGTATATGCAATTTATCTAATTATATTTGGAAACATGTCTCGATATTCTTGTTTTAATTTTAGTTATTATTTTGTAAATCACCCCATCTTTGCATTCATTTTTTTATCAATGGATCAAAAAATTTATCATTTGTTCCTTTTCTTTTTTCAAAATATTTCAAATCCATATTTATATACTTTTTTTGATAAATAATAAATCTATCCTTTTGTTTATTTGTTTTAAAATAGATTTTATTAGATCAACAAATGGTACACTACAGCAAATGTCAGAGAATCAATTATGCGAAAGCACACATAATAAGTATATATAGCTTGTAGCCTAGATCCTGTAGAATATGCATGCAAAATTTTCATGTTTTCTGATTTTTGCTATGTCATTATTATTTATTTAAATTGAAATTTCGATTATTTTCAAAAAAGAAAAAGATATTAATATAGGAAATTAAAATAATTTATAGGGCCTAGTACGTAGTCAACCCCGTTATTCCAGGTTTAACAAATTTGGTGGATTTACTGTTTATTTGGTTTAACAGGGTTTTTCGGATTAACAGGTTGAATATGTAGTTGAATACTTTATTATGTTAATTCTAAAAATAAAAAAATCTGTTTTACTGCTTTAGAAATAAACAATAATTATTATTATCTGTTATGACCAAATAAATTTTGTATTTCCAATTAGACATTTTAAAAAATAAACTGAGTTCCTACCTTTTGGTTACTGGTTGTTGCCAATGTGCGCCAAAATTCAATAACAATCAGATATGAGAAAATAATCACTATTCTTAAAATAGATAAAAATCTGCTAAAAATCAGGTATCTGATATTTCAGTGATTTTATTCCGAATTGTCCTGTGTTGGTCTACCTTAGAAAAAACACATCCTAATTACATGATGAGTCAATTTTTTATGCTAATGATGGAATGAAAATGTTTTGAGTACTCAAAAACAGCAACCTCTTCGCAAGGTTCATCTATTCATCCAAGTGATTTTTTATGCCTAAACCCATTAACGAGCTTTTATTTTTAAAAAGAAAAAATCCTTAATGTAGGATTGATTTGGCTAAATAAAAAATCGAATGCCTAAAAAATATAGTCCATGTCATCGTTTAGTATGACAAGTGAGAGTATAATAATAATGATATAATAATAAAGTTCAAAAGGCATGTGATTATTTCGTATCAGTAACGATTGAATTTGCCAGCTAGAAAATTTCACGTGATTAAATTAATATGAATTTCTGCGTGGTGCCAATTATGCGAAAGCATAATCCTTGATAGTCGTGTTAATTAATTGATCTACAAACACCATGCCACGTAAATAGAGAAGGTTCGGTTTCGAATTAATATTTTTTGAAGAAATAATAATAATGTCCAAATTATATTCAATATAAATAAAAACGCGGGTAATGGTATCGAATCATTTAGAATTATTAATGAGTAACAATACACAAACTTTTATTTTTGATCTACAAAAATTTTAATTGTGGCGGTGCCATTGCGGCGCAGGGTTGGCGAATTGACTGGTCCTTGAGAACTGATGGTCCATTGCCATTAATAAAATACTAAATATGGTTAAATTGTTACGTTAATGGACCCAATGGACTACCAATGGACCATCAATGGACCGCACACCTCCAGTCCCTGTTGCGGCGTATGTTTCTATTTTGATAAAATCAATAATTTTGTTTATCTCACAAGCGATTGTCGGTAACACGAATAAATAATCTTTCGCGTTATCTTTTACTATTATTGAAATATTTGGGAAAATCCTCTTATCAGATGGTAATGATGAATGATAAAAAAAAATGACGGAATTTTTGCATCTAGTTAGCTAGTTGATTAGTCATTAATATTAATATTAACAAATTGGACGAATTGATATTCATGCATATTACTTGGTAAATTACGATTTTCTTGATTGATACACAAATAACTAATATGTAAGATACTCATTATTCGTCATTGACCCTCAAAATTTCATCATCTTAATCATAAATAATACTCCTTTTAATATGGAAAATTAATTTACTGTATTATATAATAATATATTCTAATTTCAATTATGATCAATTGTTATCAGCTCGTGTGTGTGAGTAATAATATTTATTTATACATCTATTTATATCTGTACATATTTACCATACATTATATATATATATATCCACTAATAGTAAAATCTCTACCTACAAATGATAATGATCATACTTGACAAATATTGCTAAAATATTGCTAATAATAATATTGCATAACACCGGTATTATTACTTACCATTTCTTGTAGCAAGGAATTTTCCAAGAATTAATTCTTCGATCCAATCCATATTACCACACTCCATCACTTGTTTCATATTTTCTGTGTCTCGTATCTTTGTCCAATTATCTATTGCAAATTCTAAGCCTGCTGTTCGTAACCTGTTATCTTGAAACTCCCATCCTAACATTAATATCTGATCCCAATTCTCACTATTTATCAATCTAACCATTCTTTCTGCTGCCATCGTTTCAAGCTGTGGAATGCCCAACATGTCTGCTTTAGAAAAAATTTCTCTCAGCAGCTCAAACGTTAAGTCATCCTCAAGTTTATTTGTGTAAAGATGATGAACTATCGACCTGAACGTTTTATACGGCATATCTCTAATAGCAATCGTTTTCATGTGACCTTCCTTCCATTCTCCTCCCAATAAATTCTCAAAATACGCTGATCTCGCAGCCAATATCACACGATGTGCCTTCATCACTGATCCACAATCAAACACAAACTCTATATCATAAAATTTTTCCACTTCAAAATACTTTTCAAATGGTCCCAGTGAAAGATCAAATATGTTCGCAATCGAACTTGTTCCCTCACCAGTTGGAAGATCATTGAATATTTGCACCCTGACTAGTAAATCCATTTCCGGATATAAATTTTCATTTGTAATTGGGAACAAATCTTTTAATGCAATAATTCTTGCAAATCCATAATCTGAATTCGAACCATTAAATTCAAACTTTGTTTCTAATGTATGTCGACTAATCACTAGCAATGGATTTTGTTGTTGTTGTAGTTGTTGTTGTTGTTGTTGCAGTAAATGGTATGATTGCATCTGTTTATACTGAAATTGTTGCAATGACAACTGTTGTTGCTGCTGCGATTGTTGTGGATTATTATTGTTATTGGGATCAATGCGAAAAAGTGACAATCTGAATTTTTTTTGTCTACATCCTATACCATTTACCTTCTCATATTGTGTATGAATAGCTTCAAGATAAAGCGACAAATGATCATTAGACTTTTTATCTACCCCATTAGGAAACATTTTTAACCTCCATAAATAACAGGTATTATTATGATTATTGGTTTGTCCACATAAAATATTATTCTCATTAAATGCCATAGTTGTATTTGTTGTTGATACAATTGCTGTTGAAGGCGATGAAGATAACGAAGTTTTACCTGGTTGTCCTCTTGGAGACCAAAACCTCTCACTATAAAAAAATGTTTCATTTGGATGTCTTGCTGCTAATTCATTAAAACAGTTGATTCTCCAAGAAAATGAAAAAAAATTGTCAGTAGACGACATTTTATTTATTTTAAAAAAGTTGATTGTTTTTTATTAATAAATTGAAAATTTTTTTTTTTGATTACGGGTTCTCTTTTTTTATATAGCAGTAAGGAGGAAAAAAATAGTTTAAAGAAAAAACGAGTTTTTAAACACAACATATATATTTTTAATTTCAATTATGTCACGTGAGTTTTTAAAATGGTCTTTGTGGTCAATTCACACGTTTTACTTTTTGCGATATGCATTATTATTATAAACAATAATAATGTTACCGAGATTAGAATTTAATATTAATATTAATTGGTCGGAATACCCTAATTCTGAATTTATTTATTATTATTTATTTATTTTTACAATGGATAACAGTTGTATTCCGAATTTATTTACTTTATCCGTTTATCTATTCATTTTATATTATTTATTATTGTTATTATTTATTTGTATAACATCGTAATTAGTTATTTAGTAGAAATTAACGTAGATTCGCATTTAAAAGACTATTACTATATTGCATTTTAAAAGTTATTCTGACGGAATTAAATCGCAAATTCGTACGGATTCGTAATTAAATTGCCGAATAGTAATTAGGGTTAGTGATGTTAGTCAGCTAAGGAATTTTAAACGACTTAGCCAGCCAAAAAAAATTTTCTCTTGACATTCCATTTTTATGTCTGAAATTTTAGTGCAGAATTCAATGGCATAAATATTTATTAGAATAACAAAAAAAAACATACATTCACTCAAAAAGCAAAATAAAACACATCATACCAGGATAAAAGTCACAGAGTTTCTATTTGTAATGCAAATGCTTATTTTAATTCAAATTATTCGTTTATTCGAATAAAACTTCAATGTAATTCGAATACTCAAATTTCTAACGAAAAAAACAAATAATTTGAACTATTAAAGACGAGATATTATAATAACAATAGGAATAATAGTAATAATAATAACAGTAGCAGTAACTATAATACCAGCTAGCTTATTACCATCTGAAAAGGTTTTCATCAACTGGGATTTATTGAGTTCTTCGCCGGCTAAGGTTTTTCTATCGGCTAACATCACTAATTAGAGTGCAACAAAATTGTTATCAAGTAATTTAATTGTAAATAAGAAACTTGAATTCAACATACTTGTAAAAGAACTTTGTAAGAAGTTTAATAACTTTGTGATAAGTTACTTAAAACTAATTTGTTAGTGATGGCTGATCCACATAATCATTAATTATTGTTATCAATTATTACACTCTCCAAAATAATAATTGGTCTTAAAAAACAATTCCAATAAAAGAATTTTAGTATACCGTAATCATAAATCAAATTAGATGATTTCTTCTACTCTTCTCCTTTCCTTTCATTATTCTTGGTAATATTTTGTTAATTTAATGAGGATCCAACACAATTGTAAACGAGATCGCCAGTTTTGAAATCAAAAATGCATTCTTTACATTCCTAAATCATGAGTTTCGAAATTAAATCTGATATTAGTATGGTATGTTAATTATAAATGTCAAAAATTTATTTTTCACAACCAATGTTGGTGATGTTACCTCTGTTAATGAACAACTTGAATTCTCAATTTTTTACTGCTTAATACGAGTGTGTTTATCATAAGAATGATGGCGGTGGCTATTGCCAGTCGTTGTCACTCTAGTTAAAATAATAAGAATCATATTAATATTTAATAAATGTGTTATATATTATATTAATAATGATTAGGTAAGTCATACCTTTTTATATACAAGAAATTTTTATATTTTTAAATTTACATTCATATATGAATGTAGTAATAATAAATTTGGTATAACTCAAAAGTGCATCACTCAGATAATAATATTAGAGCCATGCATAAATGAACGTTAAAAGAAGAATGTTTTTTTAAAAAAAAAACAGGAAAAACAAAAATAAAAAGTTTAAATAATGTGGGGATGATGGTGAAACTCTTCCCCTCTGAACATAAATTTAATTGCTTCTTTTGAAATTTTCATTAGTGGGGGTGTTCAGACATATAAATGCCCCTGCACTTCAAATTTTGAATATAATATAATAGATCCAATGTAATGTTCTATTGGTATTGAATCTAATAAATACACTTCTCAATATAGTGCCATTGATTCGGTATACTAACATCGTAGATGCTATGGATCCTAAATTCTGACACTAGTACGAAAAATGAAATAGTGCTTTATAAGCCTTTTATCACCATTATTTGAGTTATGATCATTGCAGAATTAAGGTGGACGTTCACAACAGATTGTTACCATACATTAGGAATGGCTACCTAATTGGCAACTTTCATAAATTGTGGCCACGAAGTGCTTCCAGTGTCTTAATTCATATATTTACCACAGGCCCCGATCCACATCAGCAGGCTTTTCGGTTGGTATAGAGAAGGACGTTCACAACAGATCATCATCTGCCATACATTAGGGCTGGTTACCTAATTGGCAAATTTCACAAGTTGTGGCCACGAAGAGCTTCCAGTTCTCTTTTACCAAATTCCTAGTGGCAGATAAGCAACAACTCAACGTGAGAAAAAATGTACCATCATCTTTCAAGATGATTTACATTGATTATTTTCCTTTAGTATGCTAAATAATTGTTTTGTTTAAAAGAAATATAAAAATGAATTTATTATTATGAATTTATCATTATGCATTTTTTTATATTAATATTTTAAAAAAATAACAACATATATAACTTACTATTAATAATAATATTATTATTATTGACATTACCACCACTGTCTATTGTTGTTGTTGTTATGATTATAATAATAGTGGTGGTAAATTTATTCATACTGGAAAATAATCACTTCCACTAAGATTGGGAGTGGGAATGAGGGTGGGAGCTGCTGTTGACAGTTGAAGTAGGAGCAGCTGTTGAGATGTTGAAGTAGGACTGGCAGCTGGAGCGGGAGAAAGAGTGCCAGTTGTTGATGGGTGTCCGTTCATCTTGTTGTTACGTGGTTGTTTTGTTGCGTAATAAAAATTCGTGCAACACGTAAATTAATATAACGCTATCATAAATTTGATTGGTCGATCGACATAGATAAAAGATAAATCGAAATTCATTCATTATTAATCCTTTTCCTGGGTCATCAAAATTTTATTTCCGGCTTGTAAAGCATATATAAATAGAAAGCCTAAGCTAACACCAAAGTAATTTGAAAAATAACAAGGTAATTCGGAAGTTAGATGAGAGGTGCTTCCAAGATTCCCGCATTCAAGGAAATAAATATATTTATTAAACTAGTAACAACTCAACTAAAGACTAGTGCCGTAATCCAAAAAAGGAAAAAGTATGGTTGCAAAAGTGGTCGCAAGGGCAATTGTGATCATTTTTTATATGCCGTAGATACAATTACTACCATCATCATAATTTACGGCACTAGTCTTTAAACTCAACCACAAAAAAAAACAACAGCAAGCATGTTGGAGGTATGAATATTATTATGCCAATTATAATAATGTGTTAATAGTGTGTTTAATGAACAATTATCTTATTAACAGTGTAATATTTAAAATTCTTTATTAGGTAAAAATGATTAATGTTCAAATGCAAAGTTGGATGTAAGTTTTCAATATTCTATAAATATATTATTATTTACGAATAAAAATATTCAATTCAACATGAGATATACTTTTTTTTTTCTTGGGTTATAAATATAGAAGTATTAGTGTTGCTATTAATAAATAGCAAAGGTTTTAAGCTAGGGTTTTGATGAATTAAATGTATAAAGATACTTCCAATGAATTCATATGTCATCTTGAAATTATAATAAAATTAACCTTTCCGCCTTGTAGAAAACCCATTTTTCATAATTTTTTAAAAGCATTAAATCCGGATATCAACCACCTCCAAGAAAAGCTCTCGCTGGTCACTTACTTGATAGTGAAGTAAGCACAAATTGATAAAGGTCTTGAGCATGCAGAAAATTTAACATTAGGTAATTAAATAAATAAATTATAATAGTTGTAAAAGTAATTTTACTAGCAATAAATTTTTTATCTTCTTAAACAATTGATGGATGAGTATAATATTAATGGTGGTGGTCTTAAAACATATATCAAAACACTATGGACATCTGTATATGATTGTGTATCATCAATTATCAGATTAAAAAAAATGTCTAGAAGAGGTATTTTAAATTTTATACATTGTGTTTTTACCAATTACAACAAATGATAAATGATAATCAGAAGAAGAATACTTGCACTTATGAGCTAAAAAAAAATATGTTGATGCTGATAATACTCATAATATAGCCTCAACTAAAATTGATTGCTAGTGGAGAGCCACTTTCTCTTTTTTCAATATCATCAAATTTACAAGCATTTGTGACAAACGTAACCATTATTTGGCTTCATATGATATTGCACCACCTCAATTAAGAAATTAACTCCAGAAATGTTAATGAAAGAAGGTCTTTATCATTGATAGTTATACACCCACAAATAATGTTATTAGAATCCTCATCAATTAATAAATTCCACACTTATTTCATGTTGCAAAAATATGATATTTATATTTATACAGTTTCGTTTTCTTTTTATAAAGGTTTTATAATGAAAATAATTACATGTATAATGATCAACTAAAAAATACCTTCATCACAAGATTATCAAGGAGATAGCACTAATAAATCATTGGATTCTAAAACCATTCCATTTGATACTTTTGAATGAAAACTTATATTCAGTGGTTAGAGATGCAATAATTGTTTTATATTAATAATAATATTTAATTTTTGTTTTATTAACTATAAGTGCACCACGAACTGTTATGATTTTGACATGCTGTAATGTCATAAATATATTTAGACGTCCATTTTCAATAATCATAAAATCGTTAATGTCATAAGATTTTGGGACACATACTTGCAATATGATTGGCTGGCACTTTGATAAAATTGTTTGATACTATTAATACAGTGCATGTCGTCTATACCCAAAATTATGAAAATTTTAAATATCATGTGATCCGCCCATCAGGTTTAAAAGAAAATACAATCATTAA